ATTTCTGAGGAGCCAAGAACCCTACACATACCTGATGACATCCCCTAGGCGTACGCGAAGGTTATTCCGAACAACTCTGTTCATTCGTATCTTCTCGTCAGAACATGTGTCATCAGAAAGCACAATGCACACGGCTTCCCGCCTCTTCTTTCCTTTCAGCAACACTGTGTCACCTCGGAACAACTGCAGCTCATCCATCTTGGGCTGAGGAAAGAAGGTTAAGACCTTTGGGACACTGGGATAGCAGCAATCCTGGAAGTTGGGATTCCCAGTAAACCCTACACTCTTATCTGTGGTCACTACAAGAAAAATGGGAAAGAGAAACCCAGGGGAAACCCTTAAGTAAAGTGCAATAAGGAAAGATTAGACTGGACCCGACATACCTGGGACAAGGACACAACACTGTTGTCCTCATTGATGGCTTCATCAACAATTAACCGATTGGGACGGTTCTTCTGTTTAAGAATGGCTGTTGATAAATCATCACCTTTTGAGCTAGTAAGAGAAAATGAAGTCAGTCCCAATGTTCCATACTCCTGCCTCAGGGGCCCCCACTAGTCTCTAACACTCACATTTAGAAAAGAAACAGTACATGGATGTAGGTGTCCCTAGACCAGAGAGATCAGATGAAGGAAATTCAACCAATGTAATGAAGAGTAATATTACATATTACAATTCCTATTCCATAGCTCTTGGTTTTTTGAGCCACTAGTATGCTAAATAACGGTAAGGTTTCAAGTGATCCTGCCCAAGTGTCAGGTGTCAAGAAGACAAAATAGAAGAGGAGGTTGAGTAGAAGAAAATTAAGACAACAGGATAATATAAAACTGAACAGTCATTAAGAGTAGGGTAAGGGTTCTGTAGTCAAACCTGCTAAGTCTGAATCTTAACTCTGTCACAGCTTAGTATAATCTTGGACAAGTTATTCCACCTCTCTGGACACTGATGTCCTCATCTGTAAAATGGAGCCTACAGTAGTACCTCTCTCAGAGGATTAATGCCTTAAATGAGATAACAAATGTAAAATGTTCACCATTACCCTACCTAACACCTGGTATTAGTGGTCACTATGATTATGTATTGCACCAAGTAAGCAAGACAACTTCCCTTAGAGCTCAAGGAAGTCCCAGTTCCTTTATGAAGCAGGATCATTATTAGCACCACCCTCAATATTGGCTAAACCTGCCAAATGGCAGCGTAGTCTATCTACCACAGAATGCCCATCATTTTTGAAAAGAATATTAATAGATCTGAAACATTTATAAAGAGGCTCAAACTCAAAAAGAGCTTCACAGTAATCCCAGGAAAGATATACAACTCTATGGAGATGGTACAAAAAGTTAAAACTAGAAAATGCTGACACATGGGGAAGTCCAAATCCTGTTACCCCAATAATCAAGGTTGCCTGAGTCTTCATTCAGTTAAAACTCTGACATTTCTATCATTTATTAGAACTAATATCATTCACCCGATACTAATTTCTTAACTAGCTCGTCTCCAGCCTTCACTAACTAGACTCAGTGGGCTCTCCCTGTGAAGGATACCTACCTCCTGTTATAAAGGCTCCAGAAAGTATGGGCATTAGCCAAAATAGGGAGGCCAGACAAAGAAAGAAGAAGACCTACAAAGAGGTCTTTTTCATGAATTATTACTTCATTGAACAAATTCATGAGTATCCGTTACATACCAGGAACTGTTCTAGGACCTGGGAAATACGTCAGAAACCAAACAAAACAGTATTCCTATTGGAAACATTTTCACAACTTGCAATAAAAAGATGCTCTAGAATACTAGCTAAGGGTTTATGGGTTTTTTACCTGATCCTGACACACTGAATCCCACACTCCACCCAAGTTGCTAATCCTTTTACACTGGTTTTTATCTTTAATCACTGCCTTCAAACTAGTTTCCAAAAGTGGGCTTTCCTCAGTTCAACTTGCTTCTTCCAACCCAAAAGTGAAACGCAAATGCTTACCAGGCACACTCTTCCAGTGCCTAGCAATACCCTAGAGGGCAAGCACAGTCAATGTGACAGCTGAGGACAACATAAACCCATTAATTCTCTCGTACCCATCTTCCAGCTTTATCAGTGGAACTGGGGCTGGAGAGAAATAAAATGACTCTGGTCCTTAAACACCTTTGGTCCCACATCTGTCTACTGAAATCTTTTAAAGAGAATTCAGCCTGACTGTGAGCCAATGGCACTCCTGGAGGTTCTTTGGGGACATCCCCCATTGTCTCCTGCATGAGTCAGGTTCTTTCCAGAACCCCAGTGGGTCACAAGGGACTTGGAGGGAGTTTAGGTAAGAGTCATCAAGATGACGACCTAGAGAATAGAAATATGATGCCAGGTCTCAAAAATATTGTCTTTTTATTTTTAGTCTGGAAAACAAAAGGCCGGATAACCTAAGGTAATGTTTTTAAATATCAGCGAGCCTTTTAAAAAGGAGACTAAGAAATACCTAAACTGGTTTCAGAAACTTGAAACACACCTCAAAAAACAAAAAACAAAACTAAACTCTTCGGTGTCAGGAAAGTAATTTGCATAGAACAGTTTCTATAAGATGGCTGTGTCTTTTTTTATCTAAATCTCTACATTTTAAATTCAGTGAGTATAGAGTTGCCAGATTTTATCTGACGCTTTCCTGAGAGGTGGCTCAACATAGCAACTTAGGGGATCTAGTGCGTGATTGTAGTTATGGGGAATTCCAACCTTCACCGTGAAGGCCCACAAAATACGAACTGAGATTTTTACTTTAGCGAGAACGTTAACACGGAAGCAAAAGTTAAAAGTTCCTTTCTTCCAAGCCCCACTCTACCACAGCAAGGAAAACGAACTAAAAAGCTTTCTCAGTTTAAAAAACAGACGTAAAGTTGGAAGAAGGCCAGAAGCGAAAGGCTGGGCCGGCCTTCTCCCGACCAGTCTCACACCCCTCGGGTGCCTGAGGCAGTCAGCCGTCGGCCAGGCCCACTGGGCTCCAAAAGGCTGAGGTTCCCGAAGTCCGCCCAGCTGTCCCCTGCTCTGGCCTCAAGGCTAAGGCCTTCACGTGGCCCAAAGTCCACGCCCACCGGACTCAGCTGCGGCGTCGGGTCCGTGGGGCCTGCTATCCTTGGGGGCCAAAAACCTTTTGTGAGTGGTAGGCCGGGCGGCAGGTGGGAATCCCAAGGCCCCGGGGCTCCGGCCCGCAGTGTGGGCCCGAAGACCTCACTAGGCCGGGACGGCCGTTCCGAGGGAACCAATCAGGCCGGCCCGGGCCTGCATGACACAGCACGATCTGGCCCAGGCCCCGACCCGGGCCCAACGCAAGCCCCGCCTAGGGGGCGCGCGGGTGCGCAGACGGGCCCGACAGGGCCCGCGGCCCCTCATTCGCCCTCTTGCTTGCCTCCTTTCTCGCCCTCCAGTCTCCTCCTCTAAGACGCGCCCACGGCCTGGCCGGACCGGGCCTACCCCGCACGAACATGTCCCCGGTGCGCGCACTCGTGGCGGGCTGGCGGGCGCGCGCGCACACACTCACTCTGCTCCGGAGGCCATGGCGCGCGCCTCTCCCGGCCGGCGGCTGTGGCGGCCCGCGGGTAACGGCTACGAGGGGTGGCAGGCGACCGACTAGGCCGGGGCTCGGCTGTCGGGGCAGGGGGCGAGCGGCGGCAACAAACCCGCGGGCGGCCTCCCTCTCGCTTCTTCCCAGCGGCACCGGGGCGGTGGGCGGGCGGGCGGCGCTGGCTCCCGATCCGCGAGGGGGCAGCGGCAGCGACGACTCAAACGACGGCTGCAAACGCTTGGCTGAGACTGAGCCGAGAAGAGCCGAATCATCGGAAGGAGAGGTACTCTCGCTTTGGCCAATCAGCGCCTGCCCTGGGGACTCCCGCCCGCCTCTCCGCGCCTCTCCCCAGCAACCCGCCGGCCAGAGCCAATCAGGAAATTCGCTTGCAGACTGGCTCCCGCCTCAGAGATGCAACACGCCTAGTAACGCCACGTCAATTGGCCACAACGCTACGCTTCCTCGACGGATTGGGACTCTCGACCAATCAATGAAAGGAGTGGGGCCAGATCGACTAGCAAGAGAAGAGCCTTTAATCCCTTGGAGGCGGTCCCTCCCACTTGGCTCCAGTTCATTGGTTCCTAATCTTATCCTGTTGGAAGGGCCTGGCACAATGGATTGAACTCTTGTGTTGATCTAGTGCTGTTGTAATAACTTACACACTCATCTTTTTTCAAAACCTGAAAACCCCTCTCCGTACTCCTTCAAAACACCAGCCATCCCTATTCTGGGCTCCTTGACTAGCACTCAGGTCTTAATTCACTCCTGCCCAACTGTCCATGCATCTTCTGGTAACCCTAATCCCACAGGCTTTAGTTTATCAGGGGGTACTTAGGTCCTCTTTCATCCGGCTATAGTATTATTCCAACCTTCATTATGAAGCCCTCCTGCCCATGGCTGGAGAAGGGAGGACACTCACATCCAAAGAGGGGTCAAAAGACAACCACAGGCAAGACTGCACATTCAGTAGAGCCTGACTTGCAGAGCTTAGGCTAAGAGAGCCAGCTACACTCTTTTTAATAATTGACTTAGTGACAGGTTGGTTGAATTCATCCTTTACCCCTACCCACACAGACACATGAGACAGTCAACCTCATATTTCTAGACTTTGAGATTAGGGCAAGTATCTGAGAGTCTTAGTCACTCTAAGACTTCTTATCCTTCCCCTCTCAAAATCAAGTACCTACCCTTGTGCTGAGAGACCTGCCCAGAATACCTTCCAGACCCAACCCCACTCATTCTGCCATCTTGCACAGAATTCTAGCCTCTGGGGTTTGATTTAAGACAATGGGAAGGAGGAAAGCAACTGTTTCCTGAGAAGGATTCCTATAGTCCTTTCTTCTACCTGGACCTCAAGATCATAAGGTAGATGATTTTGGGAAATGGCATCTTAGGTAACCACCACTCAAGTGAATCAGGAATCTTTTCCCACTCAAGAATATGTAGTAAGCAGACAAGAGATAAATATAAGATTTTACTCAATACAACAAATGAGGAAAGAGAAAAAAGGGCACCATGAAAATGATGTCTCATTGATAGTAAGGGCTTCCACTGGAACCCGAATGGCAATAACTAGGCCAAATTTCGTAGGACTATAACCAACCTCTCCAGTGCCAGACATATCGGAATGGTCAGCTAAGTTACGTCCCCAAGAATGGTAAACAAGAAAGCACACAGAGAGATGGCCCACTGGGGCCTCAGACTCTTCGAAACATGACAGCTATAGGTCACAAGGCTCCAGCACAGATGTCCGAAGCTCTTCAAGAAGGGTTTCACGGTCAGGGGGATGGATCCAGCTCAAACAGATTTCTAAGTACAGGGGGAAAGACCTGGAGAACAAAAAAGGGTGATGTCTGAGTGAAGAACAGGTAGAAGTGTAGGCAGCCATTTCCTCCTTTTCATCACTACCACCCCCATCAGGTCAAGAACTCCAGGATGGTAAACGTCCATCAGTTCTAAGCCAGCAGGCCTCAGCCTTACCATGCAGCGTTCTCCTGTGGCAATTTAGTTTGGGCCTCCAGCTTCCCCCAGAGGGCAGTGGCCTCATTTTTCCGATTCAGCCTTCTCAGAGTCTGAAGCAGGTGAAGGGAGGCATCCTGATTACCTGTAGCCCCATCCCAGAGTACAGAACTTTAGAATTTCACATGGCTTTAAGCATCATTTTACAAAAATGGAAACTGGCCCTCCCTGGTGAAACAATGGCTTAGGATGCAGCACTGCAAGCTAGCTGCAGCCACTCTGGTGTGAGTTCAATCCCCAGCCCCGGAGGTGATCCACATAGCGTGGCAGACCTCTCCTGTCTTGCCCGCTGCTCAGTGTGCCTGTTCTGCTCCCTGCTCTGTCTCTGGTGAATTCTCTCACCGCCCCTGCACCTCTGGCTGGTACCCCAGTCTGTATGCATAAATAAATATATATTAAAAAAAAAAAAGGAAACTGAGGCTTAGTCTGGTTCACACACAGAACCAAGAGACCATTCCCAACCCTGGGATCCTACCTCAGGGACCCACTGTCTACCCAGGACAAAGGGGCTTACCTGGCTCTGTTCCAAAGAAACATTCCCAGCAAAAACACAGTCTTTGCATTTAAGGACATTGGGAAAGTTAAGGAACTCCTGAGAGGTCTTCATACACACATATCTATGTCTTGCATGTATCTACACACCTTGGCAAATTGCTAAGTATATATGATAATATAATCCCAAGCACTCCTCTTAACTGGAAATGTCACTCTTGTTTATTCCCAGGTACGTCTCCCACAGCCTCTGTCTTGGGGCTTCTATGCATAGCTGATGTCATGCAAGTACACATACCTGGACACATCTGCACACTGAGGAGGAAGTCCTGGAGGGCTTTGGTATCCTGGCCACTGGCTACCCATCCTAGTCCACGACTTATCAGAGCAGCTACACGAAGGTGCTGTAGTATCACATCAGATGTACAACCCTGCTCACAGTTGGAATCTGCACCTAGAAACCAGTCAAGAAGTGTGTTTCCAGCCATAGTCCACAAAATCCCCAAGTCCCCCTCTATCTCTTTTTGTATTCGGAGTTGATTTTTTTATTCTCCTGTGGGCTGGGATACATGGAATGAAAACGGACATTTACTATCACCTCTTCCAGGAAGGAGGAAAATTGAGAATATAGATTACCTTGTCCTTTTTCCTTAGGTGTGGCCCGGAAGAGCAGCTCAAGGCACCTGAAGTAGGACATGGAATGGGGTGAAGAAGAATCAATCTCAGTATCTCTGGGGTGAGTAGGTAAGAATGGAGGTCACCAACTCAAATCTCAATCAGAAAAGCATCCCTCCACACTTCCCCCAGAGCCCTACCTGGCTTCCTGATAAAATCACTATTCACCTGCTAAATTCACTAACTGCTTCTTTTTTGGCTCCCACTTGCACCCAAGCTTGGCCTTGAAGCAGGTAGGTGGCGGAGACCCAGAGTGGGCAGTGCGATGACTCCTTGGTTCCTTTTTTGGCATCTTCCCACAGCCAGGGCATCTTGGGTAACAGAGACGATGTGCGGCTAAGCAGCTCTTCACATACAGTCAAAGCATCAAGGGCTCGGCCTGCTTGGATCAGCGCAGCAGCTGCCTCCAAGAATATCTCAGGCATACTGGGCCCTGGGAGACCTGGAGATGGGGTGAACTGGGGTGAAAAGAGGATATAGTGTTTTGAAAAGGCATGAACCACCATCCCCATTTAGTCATGGCTCTGATACCACAGAGAGACTACCCACTGCTTGTTGCCCTCATCCCTTCTCTGGGAAGCATCCCTTGCCTGGTCTCCCACATTGGACAGCCTAAACAGCAGCAGAAAAAACCCTAGAAACCCCGTCTACTCCAGATGGGACTCCACTCTCCCATCCCATTACAGAGAACCTTGAAGATATACCCACCTTTGGCTCCGAGTCATCCAGCAACAGGGCCAGGAGATCCAAGTAATGCTCTGCAGCGTCCTCTGCCCTGAGGAGTCATGGCCCATGAGCCCGAGCTCAGGCCCTAGGAAAGCCCACCACAGGCTCTTAAGTAACAGAAATGCTCAACAACCCTATGGAAGGGAGGATCAAACCCTGGCTCAGCATGGATCTACCCTACTTTAAGAATGAACTGGGAAGGAAACTCAGTTTTTTTTTTTTGTTTTTTTTTAAGATATATTTATTTATGCCTCCAAGAACTGGGGTACAGGCCAGAGGTATAGGGGTGAGACGATTCACCAGAGACAGAATGGGAAACAGAACAGGCAGATGGAGTGAAATACACTGCTGAGGGGAGCAGCTGATATGACAGGAGAGGGTTGCTGCACCATGTGGGTTACCTCCCTGGCTGGGGTTTGAATTTGTGCTGCAGTGGCTACAGATAGCTCAGTTTAGGTTCAGGTTCTATTCCACCAACTCATCTATCCCTGAGACTTGCCAGAACAGAAGCTAAGGCACACCCCAGAAGAGATATCAGAAGTGCGAGGAGCTCAGGTGAGGAAGGTGGAACTTTACCTTCCTGTTTGTAGGCATCGACTTGCTAGTAGGTACTTGGCCTGGCTCTGTGTGCCACAGTGAAGGGGTGAGGTTGGCTCAGGTTGTGGGAGTAGCAACTCTACCTCAATGAGAGGCTGGGGGGCTTCAGAGCTATACGTAAGACTTAATGCCTAAAAAGCACAAAAAAGAAGGAAGTATATTTATAATCTTTGGGAACCATCCCTCCATCTACTTAGTCTTTGACTAAGTCATTCCAACACAAGCACCTCAGTAATCTACCACCCTGTCTTCACCTGACAGAGCTCCTTACCTCAACTAGCAGCTCCAGACTCTCCAGCTCTGCTGCTATGTTTCCCAGTTGATGATAGAGCCTGGAGGCCTCCAGAAGTGGGGGACCCCAGGTTGATCCTCCTTTCAGGGCTGCAACCAAGTACAGCTGAGCTCTCTGTGGATATCCCTAGAGGGATGAGAGTAATCAAGCCTCAGCCATTCTCACAAATCAGAAAGCTGTTCCTAACACCCATGATTTCCCCAGCCCACCGTAGGCCTGTCTTTACCATCTTTCGGAGACAGGTAGCCAAGGCTGTGTACACCTGGACCAACACAGACCGTGGACATAGACCTGAGGCTGCTTCATGCAGGCTGCTCAGTGCCTTGGGCAGGCTCCCAGTGATTAGCTCCTGAAGGCCTGAGGGCAATCAGTATGTGAGTTTAGAGAAGGGCAGCGGACATGATGAGGAATAGTGGAAGCTTCTTGGCATTGAATGGGGCATAATAGGGAGGGCATGTGCTCAGAGGACCTCTTAAGACAGAGAAGGGAAGGAAAGGACGAGTAAGATTGTGAGGAAACCTTGGCGGAAGGCAAATGCTGTCAGAAGGACATCCCGCAAGCCCCTGGCATCCTGCAGGGTCAGTGGGGCATCTGACTCCTCAGCTGGGGGACTCCACATTTTTAGAAGCAGGAGCAGATCCTCTGAGGCCTCACTCTGGGAAGGAAAGGATGATCAGAGGCTGTAATCACTCCTTCTCTTGTCTTAATCTATCCTGGTTGAATCTTGAGCTCAAGGATCCTCCTGATTCTTTATTCTAACAGATAGCTGTAGGGCAAGGAGAAAGGGAGGAAGGAGGCAGTGGTAATCTACTGTAGTATGGCCCTTTACTGAGGATAAATCCAGGTAGGACACAGGGCCGGCACCGTGTTTGAGTTACTGATGAGAAGACAGGGCTAGCAGGTTACTTCAGCAAGGTCATGAGAGTCTAACCCTGGACAACATCATGAGACTATTTCAAAAATCATTTATAAAAGAATCCCCTAAATGAAGAACCACCCACAGCAAGATAACCTGAGTCCCTAAGTCTTCTGACCACCAACCCAGTAGCCTTCCAGCACATGATGCTGTTACTGCAGCTAGAAGAGGCGGGAGTAGGGAATAGACCATTGGATCCAGGTCACATCCAACTTTACCTGACTGCCATTCAGGGTCTGCAGCAACAAGATCATGTCCTCAAGACGGTTATTGATCAGCCAGAGTACAGCCTGCAGCGCAGCCAGGTGATGCAGGACAGGGAGCAGCTCAGGCAAAAGGGAAGAAGCATGGAGCACAGAGTCCCACAGCCTCTTGACCCCATATTCCGGCCCGAGTCCTGGCTGTTCCTGGATCTCCAGCACTGTAAAACATACGCACATTCAGCCGAGGTGGTACCTCATTTCTAGCTTTCCTCTTCAAGAGCCCAAAGATTATAAAGGCTCCCCTCTGAGGAGCACAGGGAGGATCTCTCCATGGAGGTGGCCGATTATGCTGCTCCTCCCATTTGCAAAAAGTTAAACCATACTGATTTGGGCAGGGGCAAGGAGGGCAATCTCTGGTCCTCACCTCTCTCTAGGCTCTGCTGGATATCCTGTGCCAGGTCCTCAACAAATCCCTGGGCCAAGCTTGCCCTCAGTGTAATGAAGTTGCAGGTAACAATCAATTCCAAAGGAAGAACAGGAAGAGTCACAGGGAGCCCTGGAACAACAAATGCAGCCCTTGCAAAATGTTCCCCCATGAAAGAGCCCCCCAATTAAATGCCAAAGTAATGATCACCACAACCAAGAGTCTCAATAAAGAGAAAATCCTTTGGACATTAACCATCCTGAAACTTACTTCAAAAATATGCTGCCTGTGAGTGTGTTTGTGTGTAGGAAGAGATTCCAGTCCAGTATTCCCCGCGTCTTAAAAAAAAACGCCCCCTGCCCCTTCAGTAAACACCGCAGAGATGTAAAAGAACTAATTTGGGGCTGTGAAGGAGGGACACTGACTGTCTAGGGGAGGACCCTACTTACCTTGCATACTATGGAGGAGTCCCCTGAATCCTTCCAGTGCATCTTGAGCCAAATGCTGTCGCCTCAGAGGCAAGACGGAGGAGGTTTGAGCCACCTGCTAATGTGAGATAGTGGTGTCCCTTTCTTCTGCCCTTGCAACAATGCCAAGAGATGTCATTCTCCAGTAATTTTCGGTCCGAAGGGGAGGGGGAGGGGCAGGCATCAAGCTCAGCTAGGGGTAAATCCATTGTGAAACCTCTCAGATATATTGGGACAACGCCAGAGTCCCAGCAACTAGTTACCTTGATCTGTTTAACTAACTGGTCGTTCTTCTCCTTCCACACGTCCAGGCAGTTAGCGTGTGGTGGTGAAGCGCTCAGGGGAATCTGGTAGAACATGGTGACTCGGACACCTAGATAGGGTTTCTGAAGGATAAGTCTGATCCCGCGGTGCGGGGCGCAGTCCCAGCACTTCCCTTCCCCACCCCACCCCCGCGACGGTCCCTTCGCTCGCGTCGGCGTCCCAGCCCGCCCTATCCCGGAAAAAACGTACTGGGCTCTTCTACCCGGGCTTCCACTCGGGCCTCATCCGGTGGGCAGGGCCCGCGAAACGCTCAGCTGCAGTTGGTCGTCTTTAAGCGTGTCTCCGCGGGAAACTGAGCCCGGATGCGGCCGGTGAGAGTGGATGAAGTGGGCCTAAGCCCAGCAGAGTGGGTGGTACGACTGTCTCCCTGCGGGAAGGGGGTGTGCCCGCTTGGGGAAGACGTGAGGCTCGCCGTCCCACAGCTCGACCCACGCGGGAGAATAGTCTGGAGCAATCGAGCTCCGAGGGGAAGGTCGCGACTCAGCCAACTTCCAGGTCTTTCATCCTGCGCAGAGCTGGCCCGCGCGATGCATCCTGGGAGTCGTAGTTCAGCAGCGTGAACTCGAAAGCGCCGCTTCCAGACAGAAATCGTGTCCAAAAGGAACGGAGTGAAGACCAAGGCCCTAGTGAGCGTTCTAGTACCTACACGCTCAGCAGTCCGCTCAACCGCGTGTAGTACGACTGTTGGCAGTGCAGCCCCGTGCTAGTGCATTTCGTGCTACTCAGATACAGTGAAAGGTAAGGTGGGCTTTATTAAAATATAAAAACTCCCGTGGGGATTACAATTGAGATGAAAAAAAAAATGTGAAAAATGATGTAAAAATAAACTTTTTAATAAAAAAAAAATTAAAAAAAAAAGGTATAATGTTTGTGCATATTAAAGTCATCTCATGTTTTCAGGAATTATGAAAAGATGATTTCTAGATAAATTTGAAATATGTTAAATGGTAAAGAAACATTTAATCAGATAATGATATAATGGAGAGATGTTAAACTTGGTGGCAAAGAATTTTAATATAAATTATGTATGTTTTTAGTTAATAAAGCCTTATATTTTCTTAGCTTAAAAAAAATATATATATAAAAACTATTGTGCAACAAAGACATTATTAATAAAATTCAAGAAAGTCACAAATGGAAGAAGTTATTTGTACATCACATGCCTCCTAATGGACTTGTATGCACAATGTGTAATTCTCAACACTCGGTAAGATTTTTTTTTTAAAGATTTATTTATTCATACAGAACTGAGGTACAGGCCAGAGATGCGGAGGGTGAGAGGATTCACCAGAGACAAGAGTGGGGAGCAGAACAGGCAGATCTTCAAAGCACACTGCTGAGGGGAGCAGTGGGCGGGTCAGGAGAGGTGTGCTGTGCCATGTGGATCTCCTCGGGGCAGGCGGGGATTGAACTCACATGGAAGTGGCTTAGTGCTGTGCCACCAGAGAGTGCCCCCACTCGCTAAGATTTTTATAAAAACACTTTAAAATAAGGTGAAAGTCGACAATAATTAAAAAGTTTTTTAAAAAGATAACGAATGGCTAAGAAAACATAAAAAGAGGATCAGCATCTTTAGCATGGGGGTAATGCAAATGAAAACCAAGAGATACCACTATGCACATACACATACACATAGAATTACTGCAATAAAAACATGCAAATAATGTCAAATGTTGGTAAGGCTGTGTATAAAAAGGAACCCTTATACTTTGGTGGTCTGAGCATAATAAGTAATTTAAAAGTTTGCCAGTTTCTTTTAAAGTTACTCATAAATTTAACATAAGATCCAGTAATTCAAGGCCTCCCTGTTGGCATAAAGGGTTAAGTCACAGCACTATGAAGCCATCTGCAGCCACTGCAGCACGAGTTGATTCCTGGACAGGGAGGTGACCCACATGGTGTGGCAGACCTGGTCTGACCTGCCAGCTGCTCCCCTCAGCAGTATATTTCAGTCACTCTGCCTGTTCTGCACACCAGAGTCTCTGGGGATTCCTCTCACCACCTCCCACTTCTGGCCTGTACCCCAGTTCTTGTATGCATAAATAATCCTTTAACAAGAACTTCCAGTAATTCTATTCCAAGAAACCTCCCAAAGACAAATGAAGTATTTGCACAGCAAGACTTTTATGTGAATATTAGTTTTAAAATATTTATAGTAGCTAAAAATGTTAAATACAGATATCCATAATGATCATAGACATAATGAAAAATGATCAGTAATAGAAAAGAGCAAAAAGAGATACATATACCAACAAGTCTTAAAATTTTTTATTCTAAGTCAAAGAAGTCAGACCAAACGATGACAAATTGCATGATGACATGATTTCATTTATGAAATTTCAGAAAAGGACAAATTTAAATAGAAAACAGATCAGTCTCCTGGGGTAGGTTTGGGAGTAGCTGTAAACACAGTACTGAGTACTTGAAGGAAATGGTGAAAATTTCTTTAAACTACATTGTGGCACCAGTCAATGGTTTCTTACATATGCCACCAAGAACACAAGCAACAAAGGAAAAAATTAAGATGAACTAGACTTCCTCAAAGTTTAAAATTTTGTGTTTCAAAGGACATTATGACAAAAGTGAAAAAGTCCAGCAAATGAATTAAATATTTGTAAATAGATATCTGACAAGGATTTGTATTTAAAAATATAAACTATATATAAACAATGCTTATAACTCAATTAAAAAAATTAAAAATCAGGACAGTTCTTCAATAGTCATAAGAAGAGATGTCCAACCAACATCATTAGTCATGAAGGACATAGAAACCAAAAGCACGAGATACCACTTCATACCCACTAGGATGATTAGAATTAAAGAGAAACGTTGGCATGGATATGTAGAAAGTGGTACCCTCATATACTGCTGGTGGCAATATAAAATGGTGTAGCACCTTTGGAAACTGGCGGTTTCTCAGAAAGGTAAACATAGAGTTATCATATAATGTAGCAATACTACAATATACCATTAGATATATATCCAAGAAAAATGAAAACATATCCAAATAAAAACTTGTATGTGAATGTTGAAAGCATTATTCACAATAACCAAAAAGCATGTATAGCCCAAATGTCCATCAATTGATGAATGGATAAACAAAATGTGACCTATTCATACATTGGAAAATTATTTGATTGTAAAAAATGAAGTGCTACCAGTACATGCCACAACATGGATGAAGCTTGGAAACATCAGGCTGAGTGAAAGAAGCCAGTCAGAAAAGGTCGTTTTTTGTATGCTCCCATTTATATGAAATGTCTAGAACAGACAAATCCATAGAGACACAAAACAGACTGTGGTTGTCAGAGGACGGGGACAAATGGGGTCAGGGTGTTTCTTTTTAGGGTGATGGAAATGTTCTGGAATTAGCTAATGGTGGTGACTGCACAATACTGAACGGCCTAAATAAAGGCCAGTGAACTGTACACTTTAAAATGGTCAACTTAAGTTGGACGAATTTTACCCACCCCACCAAAAAAAGAGGTACTCATACATGCTACTACATGGATGAACCTCAAAAACATTATGCTGATTGAAAGAAGCCAATCACAAAAGCCTGTATTTCTAGCATTGGCAAATACACAGTATTCCTCCCTTACCCATAGGGAGATGTTCCAAGACCCCTACTGGATGCTTGAAGTCATGGATAGGACAGAATTTCATATATACTGCTTTTCCCTTCAATGTATTTCCTAGATATACCTACAATGAAGTTTAATTTATAGATTAGGCATAATAATAAAGTGGAATAACTCTAACACTATACACTTAAAAAGTGATGTGAATATGGTCTCTCTCAAAATATTGTATTGTACTTAATATTTTTGGACCTTGACTAACAGAAACCATGGAAAGCGAGAGTAGATTAAGGTGGGGTGGGGTGGGAAATAGGGACCACCACAGTCAAAAAGTAGAAGAGTAGTTGCCTCAGATTAGGGATAGAGGTTGGGAGGGTTAGATGGTTTGAGTATCAAGTCTCATTTGATATTGATGAAAATGTTCCAAGACTGATGGTGGTAATGGCTTATAACTCAGTGAATATACTAAATATCATGAAAATGTGTACATTAAGTGGGTGAAACTTATGGTAAACTGTATCTTAATAAAGCTCTTTAAAATGGGCTTTTGGGTACCTCCATGGTAGCACAAGAGGTTAAAATACAGCATTATGAAGCTGTCCACAGCCACTGCAGCATGAATTCAATACTGGCCAGAGAGCTGACCCACATGGCATGGCAGACCTGTCCTGTCCAGCCCGCTGCTCCCCTCAGCAGTGTATTTCAGCCTGTTCTGCTCCCCACTCTGACTCTGGTGAATCCTCTCAGCCTCCTGCACCTTTGGCCTCTACCTGTTCTTGTATGCATAAATAAATAAATCTTTTTTTTTTTTTTTTTAAAGGCTCTCTGATGTCAAGTAAAATGGATAGAAATAATAGTGTAAACCAATGTACTATTGTTCTCTAAAAAAAATCTTGTGGATAGGAGAAAAAGGAAATAGTGTCAGCTCAACAAACTATCCTTGGGCTTTAGGAAAGGGCTCCCTCCACCCAAAAAAAGGAGCAGAAGACTTAACTGAGAAACAAGGTCAGGGGACTGGATCTGAAGTCTGATGGGAGCTAAGGATGGTCATTTTTATCCGTACAAGGTCACTGATCACTAAATGATGCTTAGTAGTTGTAGCCATCAATTTGAGGGGAAAGAGCTTCTCTCACTCCTTTGATGGACATTTCCACGAGGATTTCTTTGCCAGCACACCACGACACAGCAGTTGTGAGGTAGATGGAGGTCAAAGGACACATATATGAGGAATATTAGATTCATACAGTTTTGGCTCAGGTCAGGAATAATCAGAACAGGTGAAATGCTGTATAAAATGGGCAAGTAGTTCTGACTGAATGCAGCATAGGTTGTTAAATTAGGAGGCCTCCAAAAAAGTGAAGACCATAGTGAGGAGGAAACACAGTACTTCTGGGCCTCAGGCAATCTGTGCTACACAACACCTGGATGTGTCTTTTTGGCTATCTGTCATCTGTCAAAGCTTAGGAACTGAATACCTTGCATGACAAAGGAAAATGACAGGATGGAAACAGGAGTGATATGGGAAAAGCAGGGCAAGTGAGTTCAGACAACCCAAACATTTTCCAAAGGTTCTCAGGTACAGTCAGGTCTATGGTGGGAGGGGAGACTGATCCTCCCTCTGGCCCCTTATAAGGACAGTGGGGGTTTACCCACATCTCAGACACACATATTTACATTATTATTTTATTCCACTTTGGAGGCCATCCCCCAGCCCATCAGATGGATCCAAAGTGGGACTTAGGGATCAGACCCCACTATAATTTTGAATTATAAATAATGAAGTCCCAGATGCCAGTAGCTCTTGGCTGCATGGTGGTGAGAAGTATAGATGAGCCTCTCTTGCAGATGATCCAGCACCCATAGCGGCCAGGCTAGACTGTTCTCTAGTTCGCCCCATAGCCAGGAACCAGCATCTGCAACCTAGGCTACCTCTGTTGCAACAGAACTAGCTGCCTGAACCAGGAGCTCACAGCACCATCCACTCGCATCACCAAAGAGATGCCCAGGAAAAGTCCCACGCTGCTCACAATGAAGCCCACAGCCTCAAAAATGAACCTGTAAAGACAGGTGGAGGATCTCAAGGGGCATGAGAGTAGATCTACAGTCGTCTTCCTGCAGACATCAAACAGTATCCACCCTGGATGTTCAATCTTTGCTCCAGGCTTCACCCTCCCCACCACCTCTATTTCTTAAGGAAATCCACTCACTTGGGAGCAAACACCTTCCAGACCATGAGATGCCTGCGGAGGATGGAGGCTGCCAAGGCACAGGCCAGAATCTAAGGGAGGAAAAGGGGTTTGAATTACTTGGGAAGGGGAGGAGGAAGTGGGTCAGAAAAAATTGCTATATTCGCCTGTGAAGAAGGGGAGGAGCAGGAAAGCAGTGTGTCAGTGGAATAAACCCTTAGGTTTCCTAAGTCCTAATAGTCAGGCTCTGCGTCCCAGGGTAGAGGGAGATGTCAATCACAACCTCTGCCTCTGAAGGAAAGGTGGAGGATCCACCACCACCGTTCGGGAGAGAATCCTGGCGATCACTTCCGCTTTTCCAGTGTTTCCATTAATAAGGCACCCCTCAAATGCAATCAGATCTAGCTCGCTTATGCAGAGAAAACGATTCAAAACTACGATTAAGGGGGCTCAGGTTCAAGTCTCAATTACTGCCATTCACTGTATCTTAGTCAAGGCTTCCTCTCAGAGTTTTGGCCAAGTATGAGAGAAAGTGGCATCCATACGAGAAAAGGTCACTAACTCCATGATTTCTTCCCTGTACCCACCTGAATACCAAGGACGAAGAGGTACTTGAGGCCCAGCTGTAGCAATGCTGCATTAAAGTGGTGAGGTGCATCACGGAGCCGCATCTCCATCAGTGGCTCCTCCTCCTCCTCCTCAGGCCTGGCTTTGGCCTCAGCTTCACTCCCTGGGGGCTGCCTTCTCTTCCGAGTTCCTTGACTCTCACATAGAAAGGGCCAGAGCAGGAGCAATGGACAACCTACTGCCTCGGAGGAGGGCAGGGCTAGAATCAATACAGGATCCAGGGGCCAGGCATGACTCCCTCCACCCATGTTGGCTCAGGCTCCAATAAGTACAGGCCAAAGGGTGCCAAAGAGCCAGCAAAATCACATCTCCCCATTCAAATCCAGGGGCACTGTTTCTTTCCATAAAGCCAGAGGAAGCAGTCTAAGCAAGGAAGAGTTACCTGCGAAGAGGAGATGGGAGGCAAAGGTGTTGGCTCCCACCAGCAAAGCAGGCAGCCAGGTGGATGAGTCATGACCCTCTGGGAATCCCACGAAGGCTGCGTGCCAGTGGATGGCCGGAAAAACGGGCTGGTGGCCCGTGCAGTAGAAAGTCTGTGTGGCCATAAGGGCCCAAGCAGAAACTGCCTGCCATGGCACAGTAAAAGGACCTGAGGGAAGAGACATGCCTTACAGCCACATTCCATTCACTAATTCAAAGCCCAGTGCCCTGCGATCACCTATTCCTAGTTTTAGTGCTGATTCTTACATATAGCTACTCACCTATCGCCCCAACCACCGTACCACCCACACTCCTTTATTCAAATTCCCTGTGGCACAAGGCCCCATTATGCTAATGGAGCTCACTGTGGTCAATCTCTTTCTGTCTCTCATAAACGCAGTTTGCTACGATGTCATACACTCATAATTTTCCATTTTCATCATTGGAATACCAGAAAATGCACTCAGGAGGATGCAGCATTTCCACAAGAAACAAGAAAAGAAGTCCTTGTCTCCCAGGAGAGAATCCTGCTGACCCTGAGATCAGTTAGCTTGGCTATAGCAGGTAAAAGAGGAAACCAGGATGACCTTCCCAACTATGTGGGGCCTGAGCCTCTGAGGAGCAACACCTCCCTGAAAACAAGAGGGGCTGACCTACATCACTACCGCCTTGGATCGATCAGGGCTGAGGTATGTATTTACCAGGGGTGGTGATGGGTATCCCAGCAGCGAGCAGATGCAGGAGAAGGAAGCTCTGCAGAAACAGAAGCAGGAACACAAGGCTAATGCGCTCTGCATGCAACAGCAGAAGTGGGAAGGCCAAGAGCGTGAGGGCCGTGACCATAGCAGCTGAGTAGACACTCCCCAACTGATAGGCAGCCACAGTCAGGAGGCCTTGAGATTTGTTCTTCTCTAGCCGGCCCCGGAACTCCTCTTGCATGTGTCGGTATATTTGAGGAACCACATAATCCAGGTCAGCCTGAGAAGTGGGAGGGCCTGAGAAGGGAGTGAGGATGGTCCTGGTCCTTGGGGCCCCAGCCACAGCCTTGACCAGTACCGTCACGGGCCTCCAGAGCAGCAGCATGAGCCCGGAAGCGGCCAATACTGCCACAGCCCTAGGCAGCATCACCGATGCCCCAGCAACCAGGGCCTGGAGACGTGGGGGTGCTTCATCTGCTCCCGATGCCAGTGCCCAGTACGCAGCAGTGCTCAATACCATCAGGGGCATCCCCCACCGCACAAAGAGCACGGAGGGCTCAGGACTCTTGAGATTACCATAGCGGTGAAGCCACTGGCGCAGTGCAGCTAACAGGGCCACAAGTGCTGCCACACAAGCTCCATACCACAAATTCTTAGCTCGACCACCCACCATAGATGCCAGGGGACTCAGCCAAGGAGAGGAGCGGCAGGCAGGGGTCTCTTCTGGGCAGCGATGAAATAGCCCAGCTAGCCTTATACATAAAAGCAACCCAACCCCAAGCCCCAGAGCATGACCGCCACTGTGCCTAGCGGGGCCTGCTGGGGCAGAAAAGCCAAGGCGGGGTATTGTGAGTAGCTTCGCTGGCAGCAATTTGCCCTCCCAGTGAAGCTGGGCAACCAGGAGCATGATGAGTGAGCCCAAAAGAAAGGGAGTAGCCCTGGCCTCAGCTACAACAAAGCTATCAGAAAAGAGAGCAGCAAAGCGAATAAGTAGGAGTGATAGGACGGGCCCAGGGATGGGAAGCTGAGCAGTAAGAGGCCACCTGGACCCCCAACCAGGCCAGGTTTTCCATAGGAAAGGCAGAAGTGAACCCACAGCAGCCAGGGCCCCTAGCACTACTGGATCTAGCTTCAGGCCAGTAGTTAGTAGGAGTCCAGCACACACAAGAGTCCCAGCCAGTCCCCAGGCCACAGGTATTAGGAGAGGCTGGAAGCAGAAGCTCTGGGATGTTGCCCATTGTGATACCAGCAGACAGAGAATACAGGCAGCAGCCAAGAGAGCAGCACCCCCTGCCATGCGGACCAGAGAGAAACGAGCCCAAGACTCAAGGCACATGGCCCGAACACCCCGCAGGAACTGCTGCAGCTCAGTAATCACAATCTGGAAGGCTGCCTCTGCCCTCTGACGGCTCTGCACAAGCCTCTGGTAGTCAGCAGAGGCCTTGGAGAAGAGGTTCTGCAGCCGATGAAGCTCCTTAACTTGGAGGTCCTGAGCCACAGTTGAGTAGGTATGAAGAAATCGGGACACCTGGCAGAAAGGTGAGAGGCAGAGGTTAGAAATATAAAATGGGACAGAAGGAAGGGCATAGGGGTAAGTCTCAGCGCTATCACTTCTATGGCCTTAGTTTGACCCCTGACTAGGGAGTAACCCCCATATGGCAGAGCAGACCTCTCTTGTCTGCTCACTGTTCCCCTCAGCAGTGTATTTCAGTAGATGCTACCAGTTGTGTTCCCTACTCTGTCTCTAGTGAATCTGCTCACACACCCCTATCCCTACCTCTGGCCTATACCAGAGGTATAGTTCTTCTATGCATAAATAAATAAATAAATAAATAAGTCTTAAAAATTTTTTTAAAGTGGAACAGAAGCAAAAATAGGTTTTACCAAAGGGGCTATATGGAAATCAGAGGACCAAGTTCTATCCAGCACTTGGTGGAAAAGGACATGCTAAGGACAATATTAAAGCTGCAAGGTCTCCCCCTGGTGGTGCAATGAGTTAAAGCACAGCACTATGAAGATCTAAAGCCACTGCAGCCCAAGTTCCATCCCCCACCAGGGAGCTGACCCACATGGCGTGGCAGACCTCTTCTGACCCTCCCAATGCTACCCTCAGCGTACTTTGTTAATTTGCCTGTTCTGCTCCCCACTCTGTCTCTGGTGAATCCTCACCCACCACACCTCTGGCCTGTACACCAGTTCTGTAAGCATAAATTAATAAATCTTTAAAAAAAAACAAACTGAAAAAAAGGGTCTCCCTGGTGGCTCACAGGGTTAAGTCTCAGTACTATAAAGCTATCTGCAGCCACTGCATCATGAGTACCATCCCTGGCCAGGGAGCTAACTCACATGGTACAGCAGACCTCTCCTGTCTCACCTGTTGTTCCCCTTGGCAATGTCTTTCCGTTAGTCCACCTGTTCTGTCCCCCACTCTGTCTCTGGTGAATCCTCTCATCTCAACCCCTGCACCTTTGGCCTGTACGCCAGTTTTTGCATGCGTAAGTAAACCTTAAAAAAAAATTAACACTGAACACTGGGCTCTCCCATGACCATCTGTCACCTGGAAGTCCCGCCATTACCTACCTGCTGGGCATTGAGATGAAGAGCTGAGGCTTGGGCAAGAGCAGAGGAATGAAGCTGGGAGTCTTCAACTTTTGAGAACAGTTCAGTTATCACCTCCCCAATGTTCCCAAATGGGATGGGCAGGCCCAGCAGCAGGGCCAGCGTTGGCACAAGGTTGATTTGAGGAACTACCTCTGGCTCCTACAGGATAAGGACAAGGTCAGTAGTTTTCACAGGGTTGAGGTCAGTGTTTGAGACAGAAAACATGAAGGGCCTAAGTAGGAAATGAGATCGGGTGATGTCCAAGATCATGAATTTGGAGGTTTATTGGGAAACCCCTAATAAAGATGTTTCCACAAGGACATTGTGATCATGCTGCAGGTTGAAAACTGGGAAGCCTGACAAAACACACTGAGGCCTCACCTCTGGTGGGCTGCTGGGGAAGAGGGCTGTGGGACTGTATAGAAAAAGTGCAGCTGAGATCTCCAGTTCACTGTCCCCTCCGTGGTCCCCATTCATTGTCATTCCATGGTCCCCAATCACCACCAGCAGTGTGTCGTTCTTCAGACGTTTCACAAGTCCCCTGGGAGACAAGAATCTGTGTCAGGACGCGGGGATGAAAAGAGGGTTTTCTCAGGGGCTCATCGCATTCATCGCTAGTGATAACTTCCATTGGTAGGACCTAGACACCTCTTTGGTTGGTCATGACCCACTTTCTAAAGCCATAGTCTGTGTTACTCAAGGTAGACAAGACCCCTAACTTCATAAAAAGGCCCAGAAAAGACAGAATTCAGTCAGAAAAAATAAAAGATGGGACCAAATATCCTGAGATTTTCACACACAAACCCACTCCCCCAGCCAATACCCACACTCACTGGATCACCTGGTCCATTTGGCTAAGTTTCTTGGCCATTTCAGGGTGGTGAGGGCCATGTTTGTGGCCACAGTGATCCACACCCAGGAAGTGAGCAATCAGCACGTCCCATTCACCACTGTCCACTGTGAAGGGGAGAACACTGAGCACAGGGGGCAAAAGCCCACTCTTCAACCCCAGCCAGGCTTTGACACGCCTATCCAGGTTCACAAGTCAAGTTCATTACACCCACACGAAGCTCAGAATATGTGGCCTGAGGCACCCATCCCCAGCTCCCAGTCTTAGTCAGGCCTGCCTCAGGCCCTGTGCTCACTGGTTGGGTAGAGGTGTTCCAAGATGCCATTGTCCACTGTGTGTAGGTCTCTGACATTGAAGGACGGATAGAAGAAAGCTTGGGAGAAAGCGCCAGGAAATAAATCTTTCCAGGTATCATCTCCCATGAAAACTACACGCCTTCCTGCAGAGACATAAGAGAGTAGTTATAACCTGAGCAGGAGTCAGGGCTCAAGAAAAGATGAGGCTCTTCAAAAACCATCAGAAATCCCAACCACACACTCTAAGGCACAGCAATTCCAACTAGCAACTCTTTTTATCTTTCAAGGTCTAATATTTTCTTCTAGTAAGCTTTCTCTGATAGTCACATTCCACCGAGACTGTTCACTCTTTATTCCTAAAACAAGTTGTGTTAACTCTCAGTCCCTGGCTATCACTGCTGCTGTTTCCCTGGGCATTATATTGTCTTTTCCAAGTCAGTGAGTGGATAGAGTCAAGTCTGGGTCTCTCTGCTCTCTCCTCCACACTACAGAGTCGCAGACCATACATAATTTCCCTTTCAGCTCTCTCCTGCAGCTTTGCTAGGTGTGCCCTCAAGAATAAAATCAACACACAGACTAGAAACTCCAGAAAAAACAAAGCCCTGACTTGTACTCCCAGCATTCCGGGTCCTGGTCTCTTTCTTCTCCCCATGCCCCACAACAGTCAAATGTGCAGCTGGGTACCCAAAGTTCTGGCTTTTAAAGAACTTCTAAAGAAGAAATCTGCCGAGCCTCCCAGTTAGTCCAGACTAACCTGCACTGGTGAGCTGCTTGATCAGATTGTCTTCCACTATGGCATAGCTGGCAAAGTTACTGCCAGCATCGACAAAGGTAGGCAGCGAACCAGTGGTGAGAGCCTTAAGGCGCTGCATGGTGGTGGTAGGAGGGTCAGCTTTAGACTGGTAGAGCCTGGCATGATGGGGCTGAATCTCCAGGATCCTCTGCAAGGTGCCCAGTTTTCCCAGGAAGGGCAGAGAGACAGGAGGCGCCCCAGGCACCTCTGACTGCTGAGGCTGGGCGAAGTCAAATCGAAGAGCATCTATCAATACTAACACAACTCTGGAGAAACGGGAAGCCATCCAGCAGGCCCCCGGCTCCCCCTGGCTTCTCCATGGCAAAAACCGGGGGCCTGGCAGTTCTTGGCAACTGCTATGATTGGTGAGCTCCAAACGGGTGAGCAGAAAGCCACTGGTGAAGAGGGCAATGCCAGCGTAGAAGAGGAAGCTGACCCAGAGCAGGAACAGTAGCACTGAGATCTTCTGCATCCTGGTGGTGGCAGGAGCGGGAATTCATCACTGCAGGGCAAAGAACCAGTGGGTATTTTGGGATCTCATTACAAAGCCCACTTAGAAGCACTTCCTCTTGGAAGTCTTCCTGAAGATAAACAGTCCTATAGCCAAACCAATGTAATTACTCCTCTCCACCAGTTATATACCAGTGTTTCAGAAGTTGAGGTCTGCAGACTATGCGCATCAACTTGGACCGGCAATTTAAGATGCCTATTTCCAGGCCCCGCCCCAGAAGTCCGGAATCAGGATCTTTGGGAGTGGAACACAGGTATTTGCACATGTATTCCTGGAGATCCTGAGGCTGAAAAACAGTCCACGAGGAAAATTTATTCCAAGTGGTGTCTCCGCCTTTCTCCACGCCAGTCGCAACAAGCCCGTGGTGGCCAAAGTTCACAACCTCACGACTGAGGATGCCGCCTGGCGGGGACCGAAGGGACGACGGGGAGGAGTCACGCTCCGCTTCCGGACGGCCAGGACGCCTGGAGGCCAGAGGCGCCACCTCCCCCGCCCAGCAGGGCAGGAGCACCGGGTCTCAAGCCGGCTGGGCCTCACCAGGACGCAGGCGTCCGGACGACTCTGCCTTCTCCGGCGCTACTCGGCCTCCAACATACGCACCTGATCCCGGTACTTGACACCCCAGGGTGCGAGCTTAAGTGGGAGGTGCTGCTCCTTACTTACGGGAGAAGGGGTGCTGGGAGACCCCGGCTCACCTTGAGCAGCGCCCGGAAGTGCAGCGGCTGTGCCGGCTGCCAGACACCACAAAGGTGCGACCATGGGACAGAGCGGCCCACGGGCGCCCCATCGCCATCTGCCGGCGCCTCCGAGGAACTTCTACAAGAAGCTCAGGGCTTTGCAGAGGGTGGGTGGTTTGATGACCGATCATAATAATTAGGGATGAGAAGTGGAGGCAAGGGACTGCACTAACGAGTTCTGGAAACCACTGTCCATTCTTGATTAAGACTAAGGATTCATGACTTCTGGAATTAAATTAGTCTGAATCCCTGTTGTGCCACTCACCGTAATTAGTATTTGCGTATCTAAAACAGAGATAACTTACTTCCCTCTCTTTGCCTAGCTGATTCCAAAACTCATATTGAATCTATTGAATCTTACAACTCAGTAACAAAAAGACAATCCAATTTGAAAGTGGGCAAAAAATATATAAAAGTGACCAAAATTTATATAGAGGATATATGACCAATAAACACCATGAAAAGATGCTCCACATCAATAAGCATGAAATCAATAAGCAGAAAATGCAACAATATCATTTCAGACCCAGTAGGATGCCTATAGTTGCAAAGACAAATTTTTTTCATGGTTATGGAGAAATTCAAACTTTCCTATACCTACTTTTGGAGTTGTAAAATAATGCAGTAGCTTTGGAAAATGGCCTGACAGTTCTTTAAAAAGGTTAAAAATAGTTACCATATGACCCAGCAGTTCCACTCCTTGATACATACCCAAGAGAAATGAAAACATGTCCACAGAAGAAGTTGTACATAAATGTTCATCATATTGCAATATTCCCTTAGAGCTGAAAAGGTTAAAAACAACTCAAATGATCATCCACCATGGTTGGATAAACAAAACATGGTGTATCTATTCAATGGAATATTGTTTGGCCATGAAAAGGAATGAAGTACTACTACATGGACAAACCTAACCTAGAAAATATTCTACAGAATGAAAGAAGCCAGTCATAAAATACCACATTATTTATGGATACAGAAATATAAAGAAGAAAAAAGATTGATGGTTTGCCTAGGGCTGGGGGAAGAGAATGCTTCTAATGAATATTGGGATTTTTGTGGCAGGGTGAGAGGAGCAGTGATGAAATGTTCTACAATTTTGATAGTTTTACAACTGAATATACTACAAGTTATTGGATTCACACTTTGAAAGGGTGAATTCTGTTAGATGTGAACTTTCTAGTAAAGCTATTAAAAAAAAAAAACAAAAAACTGTGTCTCCCCATCAGACTTTGTATTCTGTTGGAAGCAGGGACCACTGGATCTGTTATTTTTTTGTCCTTACCTTCCTACCCATAGAGGGTATTATTTTTGTAGCCCCCAAGTCTAGCACTGAGCTCGGTAGATGGTAGACATGATGAAATGTTTTTGAATGAATGAGTATCCTCAGTTCCTGAAGACACTACCATCTAGGGTAGTCCTCTTTCCCATGTAAAATCACCCCAAATACCTACCTCAAATTCAGAGTCCCATTTAATAGCAGGGAACACTGTCCGCTGGCAGTTCAGAAGACACCCTATCCCACTGTTTCTCAGAAAGGATGATTTCACTGTGCATGAGGTTCCTTTTGCTCACTGAAGAGTCAGCTTCCATGACCTGACAGGGCTGGAGGGTATGAGTGGACATCCAAGGAAAACACTGGTGACTTTCCCAACTTCATGCCCCAATCAAAGAGGACAGTCTCTGGTTTGCCACTGGTGAGTTTATTACATGATTAAAGTTCAAATAAAAAAATAATAACCAAAATCTTGGTAGAGAGGTTAAAGTCAGAGACTGGGATTGCTGCTTCCCTGTCCCCAGCCTCCCTGGCCAAACCCAGCTCCATTAACTCAGCTTGACTCGATCAAGCTCCTCATCAAGATTTGCATCTGTGCCCCGGACATCTCTGTTGCTTCCACTGGAGACTGAGTCCTGGGCCCCTGGCACTGGAGTTTTGGTGAGGGCTCCATATACACCCATGGCCTGAGAAGGACAAGAGAGAGAACCATGAGGACACATAGCAAAAGGTATGGCACGACCCCCCAATAGCTAGATGGAAGGTGAGGTGGGGCTGGCAAGTTTGTTCTCCTTTCTCCCTAAACCTTACTCTTATAAGCTTTATCATCAGTTCTAGGAATCTTACAAACTACCAGGGCACCCTCAGAATATTGGTATGGGTATCTGAAATTTAAAAAAAAAACAAAAACAACTTGAAGGATATCCCTTATCTGTGAGTGAGGACTTGTCATTCCTAGGGGCTTGTTCACTAGTGGGAATGAAGGGCAATCTGGGTCTCAGGATACTCTGAAGGCCTTTATGGTATACAAGTGTGAAGGTAGTCATGGGGTTTCAGTCTCTCCTGGGTCCTCTAACCTGAGCTACCATACTGGTGACATCGCTGGGGTTGGAGGGCAGCAAGATAGTGTTGGAGTCCTTGGCCAGTTTGGAGAATGCGCTGACATACTGTTCAGCCACAGTCAGTGAGGCTGCTGCATCGCCATTCTGTGTTCACAGGGAGGATAAAATCAAAGATTACAGGTGTGGGGTTTTAGGGGAGAGGAGAAATCAGGTTTCTGGGAAAAGGATTTGCAGATCACAATACAAGAGATACAATCTGGCTCAATGGAACCCACAAAGGCAGGAACTTCTCTCAAGGGCAGGTAGGTGATAGAACCTCTCCTACTGTCAATTCCTGTCCCCCACTCCTATTTAGGGGCCTCTCACATGTTGTGTCAGAGCTGCAGCCAGGATACGAATAGCTTCAGCTTTAGCCTTGGCCTTGGCCAGAACTGCACTGGCCTCACCTGAAAGAAAAGAAATAGAGCTTGACACATATGGTTAGGGACCACCAAAGCTCCTGTCTCAGCACCAACCCTCAAAGCATCAAGCCTTGCCTCCTCCCTCAACCTTGACCTGCTGACTCTGCTGACCTGCTGCCTGATTTATTTGTTCAGCCTTTTCTGCCTCAGAGGCCAGGATTTGTGCCTGCTTCTTTCCCTCTGCCACGTTGATGGCCGATTCTCGGGTCCCCTCAGACTCTAGAACTGTGGCCCGTTTCCGACGTTCTGCCTCCACCTGGAAGCCCCCGGCAATCCCCATCAACAAGAACCCAGGGTAAAATTCCACACAGATATGTAATTGTACCCATCACAATAAGAAAGGGAGCCCAGTTCCCTATTTGACTGGAGCATCCTGAAGTCCTCTTCCCCATCCCTCCCTAGCTCCCACCTGCATCTGCATGGACTCTTTCACCCGAGGTGGCACATGGATATCCTTGATCTCATAACGGAGGCAGCGGATCCCCCAGCAGTCAGCAGCCTGGTTAATAGCATCTACAATGCTGGCATTCAGGGACTCCCGCTCCTAGAAAAAAAGAAATACAAGCTCTATTTTATCGGGAACCTAAATTGAGAAGGGCATGGGACTGATCTTGATCCCTACAAATGAGAAAGTGCCAGTCCTATGCCTTCAAACCCTTACTCAGGCTCAGATTTCCTTACCCGGAAGACCTTGTCAAGAGAGAGTTTGCCCAGCTCTGATCTCATGGTTGTCTGAGCTAGCTGGGTGACAGCATACTCAGGGTCCTCCACACCATAGCTTGCCTGAAAGGGGCATGGATAGTCTAAGTTTGGGTACAGAATTTCAGGAAACAGAGCAACTCAGATACAGAATAAAGCAGGGATAGATACCTTGTAAGGGTCCATGATACGTAGGTAAAGAACTCCATCTATTTGTAAAGTTACATTATCTGCAGAGGCAGGAGAGAAAAGGAGGAAGATCAGGTCTCCAGGTACCAATCAGCTGTTTCTCCTAAGCTCTGAACTTTCTGCAACTGCATCCTAAAAGCCTCAGACCACCCAGATCACCTTGTACCCCTCACCGAGAGTCACAGCCGACTGCTCAGGCACATTGATGACAATTTCCTTGAGACTCTGCACGTATCGGATCCGGTCTAACACTGGAATGAGGATGTTCAAGCCCTGGGAAGAGGAGTCATGGATCCTCAGAAGGATGGGGACTGTAGGGTTGGGATCCAAGCTATGCCTGGGGTAGGTAAGGAATCAACACATGGAACATGGCCAGAAAAGCAAAAGGTTGGGGGCATCACCGTTGGGGAAGCCCAAGATGATGGGAAGGTAAAGCTGAGCCTTCTCTTTGCAGACTGTGGAGCTGGGAGGGTTAGTACGGGAGATTCCAGAGAGGATCGTGGGATGCTAGGACAATAGGAAATGTGGTAACATGGGGATGACGGTCAGCAGCCTGGGTCCTGCCAGGTTTGGTATGGGGAGTTAGAAGTAAAAAGGAAGTTCAGGCCCCACCCACAAGCTGTGAAGGAATTGGGCATCAGACTGGCCCAGAAAGGGCAAGAGAGGTTCTCACAGGCTCCAGGATTCGGTGGAATCGGCCCATTCGCTCCACCACCCAGGCCTCCTGCTGAGGCACAAACAGTATCACGGTGTTTCGGGGCAATCCAGAGGAGGCGCGGCGCGGAGCGAGGCCAGAAGCCTGCACGGAGCCCTGAAGGGAAGAGGAGGGTTAGCAGAGAGCCCCACCGGCGGGTCACTCCGCCCCGGAGGCATTTCCCCAGACCGCGGCTCTAAAGGGTCTTCGGAGAGGGACACACGTGGGGACCACGACTTCTGACCCCAGTTCTTTTACGAAACTTATAAACCCGCTGGTTCCCCCTTAGGACCCAGTGATCTCTCGACCATTCGAGAAGGTCACGCTCTCACCCTCAGCAAAAGGGCCCCAGTCCCCCGCGCCGCGCGCGCCAGCATTCCCACAGCCTCAGCGACCTCCGGAACCAACGAGACGCGGGGCGGAGCGGTCCCTCTAGCAGCTCGGACCACAGCCTCTCCGCTCGTAACTCACTCCCCCGGATGTACTTCCGCCTGTCCTTCCCTGTTCCACACTCAGCCAATCAGCGTCAGTTGGCAGAGCGTGCATCAGGTTGTTCCCTGGGAAACGCAGCGCCCAAGGGCCCAAAGCTCGTCTATGTTGTGCTTCTTGCTGATCAAGCTCACTATTCGGATTTGGTGAACAAAATGGATTCCATTTTCTGTGTGCAGGTAGCCAAGAAACACCTTTCATCGAAATTGTTGTTCCCATCTGCTACTCAGTTTACCCTTCTGAGCGTATAATCGCCCCCATCTGTCACCATAGCGACCAGGCGCCGACTCGTTGCCATGGTTGCCATAGTGACTTTCTTCGGTAGTCCTGCTGCGTTGTGCGCAGCCCTCCCACTGGGGACTGACCCCATTCCCGTTGCTATGGTGAACAGGACTAACTTTGCTTGGTGATTGGCCTGGTATTTACTTTCCTCAAGGCACCATAGTATTTTCTATTTCTTCTCAGTCAGGGTTTATCAGACCTAGTCTACTTGCATACAGAGCCCCATTCAGCCTTGTCTGAGAAGTTAGCTATGGACACATCTTTGATACTCCAGTACATCCTTTAAGAGACTTGCGGAGTCTCAGCCCTATTTTACCTGTCAGGACACTGAAGCTGAGAGAGGCTAAAACCTCTCTGAGAGGTTTATACAGAACCAGTATAAGAATCCAAATACAGGACTCTCCCTGGTGGCACCATGGGTTAAAGCTCAGTACTATAAAGCTGTCTACAGCCTTTGCAGTACAAGTTTGATCCCTGACCCACATGGCACAGCAGAGCTCTCCTGACCTGCCTGTTGCTCCCTTCAGCAGTAGATCTGCCTGTTCTGTTCTCTACTCTGTCTGGTGAATTCTCTCATCCCCTCCCCCTGTACCTCTGGCCTGTACCCCCAGTTTTTCTATGCATAAGTAATAAATCTTAAAAAAAAAAAAACAACAACAAAGAATCCAAATCCACATTATCTGAAAACAGAAAGGGTAGGGCCTTCCCTGATGGTGCGACAGGTTACAGCACAGTACTATGAAGCTATCCACAACCACTACAGCACAAGATGGAACCCCAGACTGGGAGCTGACCCACATGGCACAGCAGAGCTCTCCTGACCCACCCGTTGCTCCCTTCAGCAGTGTATTTCAGTAGATCTGCCTGTTCTGCTCCCCACTCTGTCTCTGGTGAATCCTCTCTCATACCTACCCCCCACTCTACACTCTACCCTGTACTCCAGTTCTTATATGCACAAATAAATAAACCTTTGAAAAGAGCAAGACCAAGCCATAAGAATCAGTAAGGCCTTACCTAAGTCATTTGATCGTGGTCTCAGGTCTGCTACCTCCTTTCTAGCCAAAAGGGCAGTCCTAGCTTCAGTTAGTGCTTCCATCCCCAATCATTCCCACGACCTCCCCAACAGAAAAAGTAAGACTTAGTTCAAGTTTCCAAACAAGAATTTATTTTTTTTTCTAAAAAAAAGTACCAGATACAATTTTTGTCCTGTTTTTTTTTTTTCAAGTTTCAGCAAATGCTTGTTCCCCTCAATCCAGCCCTAGGAGTCAGAACTAAGGCTGGGTCAGAGTCTGGAGTGGGAAATGGGATAGTGGGGAATCACATGACTGAGTTTGAGGGGTACCCCTCACCCCAGCTGAGGTAGGTGGGTCAGAGTCTGGCCAGATGAGAGGAGGCACCCCAGTCCTTGGCCCTGACTCTGTCCCTGAATACCTTCCTCAGTCAGGACCCCAGAGCAAGGAGACACAGGCAGGAAGAAAGGGACAACTAGAGCCTGCAGCTCTAGATGAAGGGTGGCTAACCCCCAGGTGTGTGTGTGCGTGCGTATGAGAGACATATGTCTCTCATACGCACACACACATACACACACGCACGCGCACACACACACAAAATTGGCTTTCAGAGAGGAATCACAGGGGAAGTGAAAGAAATAGAAGCACAGGGGAAGCTGAGTCTTTGGCTAGTGACTCAGTCCTTCTGGAATAATCTCTGTCCTCAAATGAGAGAGAGCAGTTCTCTTCCAGCTCCTACATCAGCCTCTATAACTCCTATGGTTGGATCAGTATCTGAGAATGGGAAAGGAGGAGGGGCAATGTCAATGATCAGGTTTGGGAGGTTACCAAGGCAATCCAATTTGAATAAATTATAAATTAAAAATAAATAAAATAATAAGTGGCCCCTGCCCAGGACAGGGAGGCAACGCTGGCATGACTTGCCTGGGAACATGGGAGTAGCTCGGGTTCCTCCCCACTACCTAAGCTGGCTTGGGAAATCCAAGGGAGGGGGCAGGCATGTAGAGTACCCAGTGTTGGGAAGATGTGGGAAGGATCAGAAGCTCTAAACACCCAAATAATCAATTTGGGCATGAACATGGCAAGGGCTTTAATTCAAGCCTGAAGGGTCTCTCGCCGCCTCTCCACGTGTTTGCTCTGTCCAGGATGGAGCAGGATGGGCAAATCCTTGGCCCACATGAGTTGAGGGTGCTGGCAATCAGGGCAAAGGTGAGTAACGTGGATTGTGAGGGGCCTCAGTCACAGCCTGCAGTTCGTAGGGGAGCCCTGTGTCCAGTTCTAGGCTCCGGCGGGAAAAAAGCAGGCGGATGTCTCCATGCAGGCTTAAGCGGCCTGAGCGGGAGCTCCGGAACCTAAGGGAGGACAAGGTGATCAAAGTTAGAAATCAGACAGTAGAGAAGCAAAGAGATCTCATCCATGAAAGGGATGCCAGGGTGAGGAAAGGGATACCTGGGCCTCCCCAGCTGCCTCTGGACTCTGTCCTCACCTGAGGTGCAATAAGTAGCAGAGGAGGCGGTGGGTGGGGCTAGCATTTTCCTCCTCACCCACAGGCACCAAAAAGAGACGATGGCGCAAGAAGGTCATGTGGGCAGCAGGCATGTCGGAGAAGTCAAAGGTCACTAGGAACATCTTCACCACAGTCTGGTTGGGGTTAAATAAGGTCTGGGGCAGGAGAGGCAAGATTGGTAGGGTTTAGGGGCTCTTTCTTCTTTCCTCACTCCCACTCCCCCTTCAGGCAAAACTCACCACTTGGATGGTGCCCATCTTGGGCACGCCGTAACCCTTCCTCCCCAGGGGGTTCAGGTCCACGACGCCCTGGGAAGGTCATGGAGCTATCAGTCAAGGAAAGGCCTAAATATTCATCCATCTCCATGGTCACTCACTCTGGACCTGGCCCCTTACCACATTAGAGTTCTCCTCACCTGGCCTTAACTCTCTCCTAGGTGAGGAACACCTAAAAAATACTCCCCTTCCCCTTGCCCGTCCCCCCCACCCCCCACCAACCCCTCATCCTCCTGATGAGCTCACTTCAAATTGGGGTTAGGTCATACCAGGAAGGGGGCCGGGGCATTTTGCTCAGAAACATCAAAGAAGGTGACAGTGACAGGCAGCGTGACATGCTGGGGACAGTAGGATCCACTAGCTCCGATCTCTGCTGTAAAGCCCTCAATGTGGCCAGATGGTGCAAAGCGTCCTCGAAGCAATGATTCCTGGGGAAGGTATGGGGGAAACACATTATGAAAAATATGCCAGCCCTTCCCCTTATCCACACAAGCCCCAACTCCACCATCCCACTTTCCCTAGGACCCATCAAACACAAAATCCAAGGGGAACTACCTCAAAGTTGCCCAACAGGGTACGGCTGACGGCAGGGGTAGGAACAGGGGAGGCACTGGGTGGGCTCAGCAGGCCTGGCCCCTTCCAGAGACTTCGAAGGGAGCTCCTGGTAGGGGAGGGGACACAATGGGTTGGCTTGAAGTAGTCTGGGATATCTGCTCATGTCCTTTGGTCCCACTCTTTGTCATTACCTAGGACTCCTACCACAGGGTCTCCTACCCTGGGCTTGGAAAGAGGACTATGATTTCTGCCTCTATTTTTAGGGCGATCACTTACAGTTTCAGGCGACGGGCACCTTTCAGCCTCCGCCCCATGGGACTGCAGTCTGTTGGGTCCTAAGGAGAGGGAGATTAGGAAGAGATTAAAGGCCAGGTATATTAGGGAACAGGGGCTCATCACAAGCTCTCATTGGAACTTCCCCTCAGGCCTTCATCTTTTCCTACTTGGTGTAGATGATCTCCTCTCCTGGCTTACCAGCACAGGCTCCTTGGGCCCAGGCAGCAGGTGGCTCCAGAAGGGTGTGGCTTTGGCATCAGAACAGTTGGCAGCAGGAGGGTGGCCCAGTGTTCCCCGGCGCCTCCGAGGGGCTGGCCCCTCATCCTCAGAGCTGACATCCAGGGTTTCTCCAGCAGGAAGCAGCCTTCGCTTGGTGGGGCAGGGGCCTGGAGGTCCAGGGCCAGGGGGTGTGTGCTCGGGACTGTGCCCATTGGCAGTGCCAGGGGACTCCCTAGGCCAGGGGCTGCCCCCATTGCCCACCCCAGCCACTGGGCTCTTACCCCCTATTTGTGCAAGACTGTGCAAATCAGTGTCAAGTGTGTGCAGTTGGCCCGGAGGGGCTGGCCCTGGGGACTCCCCCAGGGACCCCTGTCCCCCTGGATCTGGGGAAGCCCAGTCTCTGGTGTGCAAACTATTGCAGGAAGCATTTGATGGGTGCCCGGGAGGACTCTGGGCCCCTGAAGTCCAAGGTGAGGTGGAGCTACTGCCTTGTTCCACCACACAGAGGCCATGATGGCAGAAATGTTGGCTGGCCACACCCAGTCCCAGCCCCAGTCCCTCTGGACCCAACAGCCCCAAAACAGATGGTTCTTCAGGGGGTAGCCCCTCTCTGGCCCCCAGCCCAGGGCCTCTCTTCAGTTCCCGGGGACCCTCAGTAGGTGGGGCAGGCCGCTTCAGGGCCCTATGAGACTCAGAGGCACCAGCTGGAGGGGAAAAGATGGATACCTGGTAGACCCCGGGGGATGTCGCCCCCCCTGCTGGGCTGTAGCCCATGAGCAGGCCACCCTGGAGGGCCCCCTGCCTGACTGCAGGCTGCGAAGGGCCAGCCTCTGGCTCTGAGGATGGAGACGGCTCCGCCTGCACGTG